TCGTATGTGCCCCAATCGGGGATCAAAACCACAACCCTGGCATATCGGACAACGCTCTAACCAACTGAGCTACCTGGCCAGGGCTCACCAATTTCTTATGCATGCTTCCAGAAAATATCTATAACCATATTTTGTTTTGTTATTTCTTTTTTTTTTTTTAATCCAAGCAGGACATTATATTATGGACCGTTCTGCAGCTTGCTTTCTTCACCTACTAACGTCTTCCACAACTTTTCCTAAGAGCATGTACCATCTCCATTGTTCCTGTTGATGACTGCGTGGTATTTCACTGTACAGATGTGCTGTAACCTATATGTCTCAATGCAGTTCTCAGCCACGTGCAACACCTGCATTTCAGGTCTTTGTCAGAAACAAGAGCCTCAAGCTGTCTGCTGCCCACTCTCTAAAATAAAAGCAAAACTGAGAGAAACACTTGGCAGAGAGAATAACTTGGAAATGCGTTTGGGCTTAGTCCTTTCATCCTTCTAGCATCTAGGTCTTATCCCATCCAGGAACTGCATAGTATTTAACCCACCTTTCCTGGATCTCCCAAACAGGTGCCTTCACAGGCCTCATCCCTAGCCATCCCTCAACTACTGCATGGCCCACAGGAGGTCCGTGCAAAAAAGACTTGTTTCTGCCCTAACCGGTGTTGCTCAGTGGATAGAGCGTCGGCCTGTGGACTCAAGGGTCCCAGGTTCGATTCTGGTCAAGGGCATGTACCTTGGTTGCAGGCACATCCCCAGTAGGGGGTGTGCAGGAGGCAGCTGATTGATGTTTCTCTCTCATCGATGTATCTAACTCTCTCTTCCTCTCCCTAAAAAAAAAAAAAAAAAATCAATAAAATATATATATATATTTTAAATCTAGTTTCTTCTGAAGGGTTGGCCTGCTTTTCCTTTAAGGACAATGCGACATTTGTAATTTACCATGTTCCTTATTTTCCTTTTTGCTTCGACTGCTTGGAAGCCCAGAGCCAAATTTCAGCAATCTCATAAAACTTTGTGTGCGTATCTGCTTGCTATGTTTGTTTTCCTTTCATCTTATCTGCATAGTCTTTTATACAACTCCTGGACCTTTCTTTTTGAAGACCTTGATTTTTAATTTTTGAACTTTTTCCTTTTTCTGTTTTGCTGAGGTGTCTTATTTTTGTTGCTACCCTTGAAGGTTACCTTTTTTTTTTTTTTTTTTAATTGCTGCATGAGCCTGAACATTAGAAAACTATTTTTGGAAGGTGCTTTTCTGACATACCCCTTTCTGGCCTCATGCCTGCTTCTCCCCTGCTCTGTTGATGTGGAGAGGGTCAGAGGGTGCTGTGGAGACCACAGAAGCAAGATGGGGCAGCAGGTGGCCTGACTGGAGAGATGTGTAGCCCAAGGACATGGGACCAAAATTCATTCGATGTGCCTGGCTCCCTTGAAGTGAGGTGTGGCGGCTGCTCAGCGGCTCGGCAGGGCTCGCTGCCTCGGCTCCAGGCCTGGCGGGCCTTTTCTAAGTGGGTAGAGGGCCTCTGGTCCTAATAGGATGCCACTCCTGGGATTAGCTCGGAAACTGGCAAGGCCAACTTGGGACTTGGCAAACGCTTTCAGCATCTGAGTCGGGCAGGACCCCGGATCTTCCACTCAATGAGGGGCAGGGATGGCAGCCCTGGAATCCAGGGGGCCAGATGCCGCCCTGTCACCTGCATGAGGAATGGCGGGGATAAAATAATAACCAGGAGCCGTCGGTGACCCAGTTTGCACAAAGGGGCTGAGGATTGATGCTCTGCAGCCGGTGCGCGCTCCGTGGGCCCTTTCACCGCAGCATCGTATATTATATGCAAATCTCGGCCCAAACTTGAGGCCGCTTTTCACGTCAAGCGGCTTCTTTGAGCCTATACGTTACCTTTTACGGATCTTGGACAGTAACATTTTTCTTTTTAGTGCAAAGTTGCTCAAGGTTCATCTGAGACTCCTTTAAATTGCTGCTTTCAGAGGAATAACAATGTAAAATGACACGATGATGTATGGCCCCGTCCGGCCGACCGGGGGCTGCAAGCAGCCGCAAGCACCACCAAACCTCAGGGAATGAAGCGGTCTCCGGAGCGCCATTGTGCAGTTGTCCTAACCGGATCATTTTTAATTAGTTGCAATTAATTTCCAGTGACAGCGTCCTGCACTATCAAGTCAGAGAGGCCCGGGTGCTTGGGTGGGGTTATTAGGAACAGACGGCTGGTGAGGGAGAAGCCGGAGGGAGGTCTCATCACAGAGCCACAAGATTTCCCCGGCGAGGGCGGAGGGGCCTTCTCGCTAATGATGCAAACGTTCTGACTCCTTCTGGGCCGTGTATGGGCTCTGCTAGGTGGGCACCTGCTCCACCCCGCGCCTGTGGACAAGCGTGTTCCAGCTATTACCTCGCTTCAGCCGGACAAAGTGGCTCAGCCAGATCACCTCTGTGTTGGTGTGGAGAGGCAGACACTGGTGAGAGGAGGGTTTGGGCAGGTGGTGACCCCAGGAGCCGGGAAGTGAATCAGAAAGGGCAGGGAAACTGAGAAGGGATGGGTTATTAAATGAGTTAGCCCTGGGGGTCCCTGGAGCTCACTCCCATGGTAGAACTCTCCGGGACAACCTAGAAGGTACATCTCAGAGCCATCCCATCCATGGGGTGAAGCAGCGAGGCTAGTCATACAACGACCCTGTAGGTCACTGGTGAAGAACTGCTTCCAAGATGCACCGGTGGTCGGAGAAAGCTCTCAGGCAAAAAAAAAGCTGCAAATGCTGGCAGCTGGGACAGGTTTCGAGCCATGTTGTGATAAGGGAAAGGGGTTGGGGTGGGCACTGACAGTGTCCACTATAACCCCAAGGACCCCTGCCTGTCCTAAAGGCTTATGATGCCCACAATTCCCCCGGGGTGTCCCTCTAAGGCATTTGCAGAGAGGGTAAGTGGGGTGGTGCGCCCAGGGCTGTGAGCCTTGTGGAGGAGAGTGAGCAGGCAGGCTGCCCGCCTCTCGGGGGCAGGCTCCCCCACCTTGCCTCACCCACGAGCCCCGGCTATCTCAGGCGAGGCCACTGTGAGCTGACTGAGCTCCTTCCCCTCCAGCCAGTGTGGACGCTTGCCCAGGCAAACCTCTCCCACTTTGATCTTGGCGTCTTTTCTCCTGCGTCCAGGTTTGGATTTAGAATTCTTCTCAGTAGGATTGCTGTCGAGCAATGGTAGATACACAAGAGAGAAAACCAGAGAGTATCCCACCTGAGCGCCAGGTTCTCTAACTAACATGTTTTAGGGGGAGAGATTGCACTGAGACACTGTCACCTTGTCCCCCACTCAGCTCATTCCACTTCCAGAGCTCTAACGACTCTAAACAGTGGACTTAGACCAGGATCAGGGCACTTGACCTCCCCGCCTTGGCTTCTCCGGAGAGATTGGGGGGCGCGCATATGTGACACCACCACCACCACCACGGCCTCTCCTCTCCTCCCTCCTGTTCCCAAAGCCATCCTTCACTGGTTAACCAGTAAGGAGGGAGTGGGAGCCGATAAGACGTGGCCCTTTCTCAGGAGTAATAACAGTGCCAGGACACATGCATTGAGCACTTGCCGTATGCCACACACTATGGTAAGCCTTTTCACATGCTATATTAACTCTTTTAATTTTCACAGCCCAGTGAAGCCATAATGTTATCCCCATTTGGGGGGAACTGAAGCACAGAGAGGTTAAGTAACTTGCTTAAAACCACCCAGCTACCAGTGGTGGGGCTAGGATAGGAACTTAGTCTCCTGAGCCTGGACCCCAGTGATACCTTAGGAATCCTGACGCCCACATATCCCCCACTGGGTTGTGTTTTGTATTATACTTCCTCTCAACTGAAGTGCGCGCACGCGCGCGCGCACACACACACACACACACACACACACACAAAATCCCTCTTCCCCACAGTGCAGCATGTGTCTGTCCTAACCACTTCTCTTTCTTCTGTCCTTAAGAGCATAACTGAATTGTTGCATCCATGTGGGGGACCCCTAGAAATAACTGGAGACCCAGCATTTCTTATTTCCTTCCAAGGCCCAAGCCCATTGTCTGCTTCGGGTTAAGACCCAGGAGCCCTCTTCAGGAAGGTGGGTCCTCCTCTGGGCATCACCAGTGCAGCACCTTCCTCCGGAGGAGCCATGCTCCCCTGGGTCACCTGTCTGTGCTGTCACCCCCTCACTTAGGAGCCCTGCCTCTGGGTGGCCAGCCTTCGGTTACGAAGCATGCCTCTCCCCCTGCAGATGCCACTTTAAAACCACCATATCCCCACATCAGATTTTCTTCTCTGGTCTTCAACATATCTTGCTTTAGATGTTCAATAACTTGTTTTTCAAAAGCCTCAGAATTTGGGTGCCTCATTGTTGTTTTTGCAGATTTCCCACTAGTTTTTTTCCTGATCACTTTTCACTTTGATGAACGGTGGAACTCTCTGGTGTGAACTGTGATGTGAACTCTCTATTCTAGAGTCTGCGTTCTCTCCGTTCACCCAGCTCTCTAGCTGCGTGACGGGGGGTTCCGGACTTTGCATGACTTTTCAGTGGATGCCCTTCTCTGTGTCCCCACAAGACCTGGCCAGGGCCATCCATGGTGACCTCCTCAAGTCTTTGGGGAGCTCGCATATTTATTGGGACGCTGTGACCCCAAAGGGCTTCATTAAAGGGGGGAGAACACTGGGTGTCAGGTGGGGCTGTGGCACAGAAGTGGCCAGACGGGGCTTCCCTGCCAAGTTGTTGAAGCTGGAATTCTCCGGACCATAGCCCTCGGCCCATAAGACCCCAGCCTCCTTCTGTTACCAGGTTTGTCACACCCCATTTGCTTTCCCAGGATGGAAAGCAGAGATAATATAACCAACCTAGCCACATAATTTTTTTAAAAAAAATCAATATATTGACCTAACAGTAATATAAAGGAGAAATCAAAGGGAAGTTACCATAAAATAATACGTATTTCCATATGTAAATACTCAGCAGCAACGAACACATTGAATACTTACCCCTGAATATGAAACCACGTGATGGGACAGCCGTCGGTACCTCCTGCCTCAGTGGGGGGCGGGTGCTGGTGACTCACGGAGCCGGGAGTGATGTGCCCACACGGACAGCAGTTTCTGAAATGGTGAACAATTCTTGGTGAGGTTCTGTACCGATCAGAGCAAAGCTCTCCCTCCATCAACACAGGAGGTGCGATCCTAGAAAATTTCGTGTCTATTAAAGCCACACAAAACACTCTGCGGTTATAGGTAAAGCTGAGCTGGGTTTAGACCAGCTCCTTGTCTACAGACTGGTCCACCGGGACCGCTGTCAAGCCTAGGGCCTCTCTGATGGCTGTGCGGGCTGTGCACTGTGGCCCAGTTAGTTCATCATGTAAGCAAATGAGGCCCCCTAGGGCTGTTGAGAACACTCGCTGGGGATGTTCAGAGTGGGAGAATTGTTCACGGCATGGGACTGGCCTGCATACACATTACCGTGCCCAGAGAGCACGCCTAGGTCCTCCCCGCACACGCATACACACTGAATGCCAGCACTGTGACAACAAAACGTCCCCACAAATGTCCAAACGCACCCTTGGCCCCACAGCCTGCCAAGAACCTCTCCTCACGGCTAAGGTGGCTCCAGCATCTCCTCTCAGCTTGGCCCCTTTTTGTGCTTGGCCTCTTTTTGTCTTCTCTGTATTGCTTCATCCTTCATCTCTCCCTTCCCATTCCTGCACCAGCCCAGGCCCATGGCCTCATTCCTGGTCCAACAGAGGCATCCACCTGGGCTCCCTGCTTCTGGCCGCAGTCAGGGAGCCCTCCCAGCACCGCAGTACAAAGCCTGGTCTCTCCCTGCCACTGTGCTCAGAGAGGCCCCACACAACGGTGCTTGAAGCAGCGGAGGCTCATCAGGTTGCTTCTGTGAGGTGAGACACACAGTCTTGGAGCAAAGAGTGAAGGCTGGTGCTATCCTAGGGCCGGGAAGGATGGCAAGGTGGTTTCCCAGGTGAGAGCAGAAATGAAAGAAGTCCTGAATGCACTCTGTTGGGAGGTGGTTGGTGCTGCCACTTCCCACCAGAGAGGGAGAAGAGTGGTCATGAGCTTTGGAGAGAGTGCTGGCCTGGGAGTCCGAAGGCCTGGGTTTGAGTGACCAGCCTTACTGCCATTCCTATAGAAGCACATGGTGCCGGGTGGCCCACCTTGCCAGGAGGTCCCAGCAAGAAGGAATTTCACTAATTTATCTCTGGTTAAATTAAATTCACACTATTACTACTTGGCCTCATTTTTATCTATTTTTTTAAAACTATTTTATCTTATTTTTTTTACAATATATAAAAAAATCTATTACCAGATTGTAGATACAAAATAATTAGCCCTTTACATACAATACACATTAATATTTCAAGAAAAATGATTTAAAATGTAATAATATTACATACAATAAACATCAATATTTTTAAAAAGGATTTTAAATATATTACCAAAAATAATATAATATCACAAAAGTTGTAGGAAATATTAAAAATCTGAAAATAACAGGGTTACTTCTATTATATTCTAAAATTAGAGGCCCAGTGCACGAATTCATGCACCAGTGTGGTCCCTCTGCCTTTCCTGTTTGATCGGTCTGAAACTGGCTCTCCAACATCCCTCCAGGAGTCCCAGCCAGGCCAAGGGACCCTACCAATGCATGGTCAGGGCCAGGGAGGGACACAGGAGGTTGGCCAATCTGGGAGGGACTATAAGAGGGCTTCAGGGTATGTCCAGCCCATCTCACTCAGTCCTGATAGGCCGGGCCCTAGCAGCAAGCGAACCTACTGATCAAGGTCTGACCCCTGGTGCTCAGTGCACATCATAACAAGTGGTTGAGCAGCCTTAGCATATCATTAGCATATTACATTTTGATTGGTTGAATGGCCGACTGATTGACCAGACACTTGGCATATTGGGCTTTTATTATATATGATATTTTTTCCCCTCTGGTTCTATTCTTGTTCATCAGTTTATGTTGTTCATTATATTCTTTTTTTTTTTTTTTGGTGTTTTTTATTTTTTTAAATTAAATTATTATCCGTGTATATATCTTACCATTGCCCCCCCCCCCAACCCCTGTTGTTCATTATATTTTACAAATGAGTGAGATCATATGATATTTATCTTTCTCTGACTGGCTTATTTTGCTTAGCATAATGCTCCCCAGGTCCATGCATGCTATTGCAAATGGTAAGAGTTCCTTTTTTTTTTTTTTTTTTTTCAGCAACATAGTATTCCATTGTGTACATGTACCATGGTTTTCTAATCCACTCCTCTGCTGATGGGCACTTAGGCTGTTTCCAAATCTTAGCAATTGTAAATTGTGCTGCTATGAATATAGGGGTGCACATATCCTTTCTGATTGGTGTTTCTGATTTTTTGGTATATAGTCTTAGGAGTTGGATTACTGGGTCAAATGGGAGTTCCATTTTTAACTTTTTGAGGAAACTCCATACTGTCTCCCACAGTGGCTGCACCAGTCTGCATTCCCACCAGCAGTGCACAAGGGTTCCTTTTTTCCCACATCCTCTCCAGCACTTGTGATTAATAACTTTGAGCACGTTTTCATATGTCTCAGGGCCTACTGTGTGTCCTCTTTCAAAAAGTGTCTACTTAGGTCCTTTTTTGGCCTCATTTTTAAAACATCAGTCTCACTAAACATCTCCTGCACCTCCCCCTAATCCAGAAACAGCCTAACAAGGTGGCTTCCCATGCATTGTGTTATTAGAGTAGACTATATTATTGTAGAATAATGTCCTATATTATCATCCATAGAAAGATGCCCTTTGCTCAGTATGTTAACCCTCCTATGTCATGCTAACTTATATCTTATGCTTACTCTCATCCTGTACAGAGCTTCCCCCTTCACTTCTGTCTCCATTGTCATCTCAGCAGGTGCCGGGAATGGAGAGGGGATGAGGCCAGTAGGGTCCGTGAAGGGACTGCAGAGAACTCTGCCCATCTGCCCTCCTGTCCACCAAGCTTCCTCTTTAGAAAGGTGCCTCCATATTCACCTTGCACAGGGTCCTAGGTCCCACCTTATTCTCAGGGCTCCCACCTCTTCTGTACCCTCAGACACTCCTCTGCCAGATTGCTGGGCCGCCATGGGAAACTGAATGGGGCAAGCCTGGCAGCAGGGAGGGGTGTGTGTGTGTGTGTGTGTGTGTGTGTGTGTGTGTGTGTGTGTTCATGCACCCTGGCAGAAGTTACTGCTGCTGCTGCTGTGGTCTGGCAGGAAAACAGCTGTTTAAACCCCTCAGTGTAACTTCATTGTGCCCAGGAAGGGGATTTGCCCAAGGCTAGGAGGGATTATGGGCGGGCTGGGGATGTGTAATGGGGCAGTTGAAGAGGGAGGGCTCTAAGACTTCCTTCTGGCCGTTTTGAATGAGAGCAGGTAGCGGGGCAGGAAGGGGCAGCCCTGACTCCCAGCTGATGCTGAGCAGCGGCCTCCCACCCCCACACAGGGCCTGACTCTAATGTCTTCTGATGGGACAGATTGGTGAGCAGGACTATTAGCTGGGCGACATCAAAAGGCATTAATCTCTGGCTCCAGAGCAGCCCAGCACCACATTAGTGCCTCGCACCCAGTCATTATTAAGACTTTAGCCCAAGGGTGTAATAAATGTTTTATGGCATGCAAACCAAGGTAATGGAATGCAAATCCCATAATATAGCCATACATTTATTTTCTAATGGAGCAAATGATGATGTATTTTATCTGAGAGGAGCTACGATAGGGTCTGCTTGGGAAATGCGAAGTTAGGGACCCAAAGGGTGAGTGGGTGGCCCTCCTTGGTGGGGGGCTGGGGTAGCAACGATGGGAGCCATGTTGGGACTTCTTAGTGACAGCCAGGCTTCAGTACCTCTGGACAAGCCCATCTCGCTTGTCCTCCTGCCCCCAAATTCCCTCCTTGTGGGGCATAAATCGAACATTCTGAGCCTTAATTACACCCCCTTTGCAGAGTGCTCCTCCTCCCTCAAGCCCCAACCCCACCCGGAGCTGCATACCAATGAGCTACTCAGCTCATATTGGCTTTCCAAAAATATGGCCGCATTAAGGTGTGAGATGTTAATGGGATCGAGGGGTGCAGGGCTATTTCTCCAGCCGAGTTAGGACTTGGCAGTGGTGCTGTTTTCATTAAGGAACCAACATTGTTCAGTTGTAGCCCTAGGCTGGTGGGGAGGCCGGTTGGCTACCCAGGGTGGCTGCAGCCTTGAGATGGGCTTTGGGCAACGGATCGACCCAGGTCTTTCTGACTGCTACCGCCTCAGAAAGAACTGTCCATTATTCCAGTTCTCCACAAAGAGTATGGGCCTCTTCATTCCCCAGTGCCCTTTCTCGTCCTCCCCCAGACCAAGGCACAGTACCCAGCCTGACCCTTCCTTGCCCTGACTCTAACCCAAAGGGAAAAACAGAAAGAGGCCCCTGTCTTCTTGGCTCACCACTGAGGTGAAGAAGAGAAAGGGTGGCTTCCAACGGGTGCCTGTACCTAGAAAGCTTGGACTCAGGGCCTGGATTAGCAACAGAAAATCTAAAGAAACTGATTCATTCAGAAGGAAAGCATGAACTGTTCACTAACTCACATAAGTGAAAGTTCAGAGGTTTTCAAGCCTGAGAGAGGGCTGGATCCAGTCACCCAATGTCATGATACTGATGACTAAGGATCTGTTCTATACCTAGACTTATAGGGACGCCAGGAAGTTCAAGACTTGTCCCTGCTTTCAAGGTACTGATAATCTAATGGGGGAAAGGACAAGCAGCTGAAAGGAAATGATCAATGCCAGGTAGTATATGGTTTAAGGATCACCAGAGTGTATATCTGAGGGGTTCAGAGTTCTTTGTAAGATTTCTGGGCAGTGTGTGGGGGAGGGAGGGAGAGATCCATTGAGAAAAAGGGAAGGGAAGTGGAGACCACTGTGCGAGAAGAATCCTGGTAGAGATGTTGCTATGAGCTGAAGGTGTTAAGGACCCCTTACAATTGAAAAGGCCGGACTGGGTTCTTCCCCCAGAGAGCTCATAGTAGGTGCTCAGTTCGCAATGGCTTCTAAATGCCCTGAAAACAATGGTTGTTCTCAGCGGGCTGGGGCTAGATCTAGCATTG